TCACTGACGGTAACAGCGCCGTCATGTGTTCACTGACGGTAACAGCGCCATCATGTAACAGCGCCATCTTGTGTTCACTGACGGTAACAGCGCCATCATGTGTTCACTGACGGTAACAGCGCCGTCATGTGTTCACTGACGGTAACAGCGCCATCATGTAACAGCGCCATCATGTGTTCACTGACGGTAACAGCGCCATCATGTGTTCACTGACGGTAACAGCGCCATCATGTGTTCACTGACGGTAACAGCGCCATCATGTGTTCACTGACGGTAACAGCGCCATCATGTAACAGCGCCATCATGTGTTCACTGACGGTAACAGCGCCGTCATGTGTTCACTGACGGTAACAGCGCCGTCATGTGTTCACTGACGGTAACAGCGCCATCATGTGTTCACTGACGGTAACAGCGCCATCATGTAACAGCGCCATCATGTGTTCACTGACGGTAACAGCGCCGTCATGTGTTCACTGACGGTAACAGCGCCATCATGTGTTCACTGACGGTAACAGCGCCATCATGTGTTCACTGACGGTAACAGCGCCGTCATGTGTTCACTGACGGTAACAGCGCCGTCATGTGTTCACTGACGATAACAGCGCCATCATGTGTTCACTGACGGTAACAGCGCCGTCATGTGTTCACTGACGGTAACAGCGCCGTCATGTGTTCACTGACGGTAACAGCGCCATCATGTGTTCACTGACAGTAACAGCATCAGAGTCATGTGTTCACTGACAGTAACAGCGCCATCATGTGTTCACTGACGGTAACAGCGCCATCATGTGTTCACTGACGGTAACAGCGCCATCATGTGTTCACTGACGGTAAGAGCGCCGTCATGTGTTCACTGACGGTAACAGCGCCGTCATGTGTTCACTGACGGTAACAGCGCCGTCATGTGTTAACCGACGGTAACAGCGCCGTCATGTGTTCACTGACAGTAACAGCGCCGTCATGTGTTCACTGATGTGTTCACTGACGGTAACAGCGCCGTCATGTGTTCACTGATGTGTTCACTGACGGTAACAGCGCCATCATGTGTTCACTGATGGTAACAGCGCCGTCATGTGTTCACTGACAGTAACAGCGCCGTCATGTGTTCACTGACAGTAACAGCGCCATCATGTGTTCACTGACGGTAACAGCGCCGTCATGTAACAGCGCCATCATGTGTTCACTGACAGTAACAGCGCCATCATGTGTTCACTGACAGTAACAGCGCCGTCATGTGTTCACTGACAGTAACAGCGCCATCATGTGTTCACTGACGGTAACAGCGCCATCATGTGTTCACTGATGGTAAGAGCGCCGTCATGTGTTCACTGACGGTAACAGCGCCGTCATGTGTTCACTGACGGTAACAGCGCCGTCATGTGTTCATTGACGGTAACAGCGCCATCATGTGTTCACTGACGGTAACAGCGCCGTCATGTGTTCACTGATGTGTTCACTGACGGTAACAGCGCCATCATGTGTTCACTGACGGTAACAGCGCCGTCATGTGTTCACTGACGGTAACAGCGCCGTCATGTGTTCACTGACGGTAACAGCACCATCATATGTTCACTGACGGTAACAGCACCATCATGTGTTCACTGACGGTAACAGCGCCGTCATGTGTTCACTGACGGTAACAGCGCCGTCATGTGTTCACTGACGGTAACAGCACCATCATATGTTCACTGACGGTAACAGCACCATCATGTGTTCATTGACGGTAACAGCGCCATCATGTGTTCACTGACGGTAACAGCGCCATCATGTGTTCATTGACGGTAACAGCGCCGTCATGTGTTCACTGACAGTAACAGCGCCGTCATGTGTTCACTGACGGTAACAGCGCCGTCATGTGTTCACTGACGGTAACAGCACCGTCATGTGTTCACTGACGGTAACAGCGCCGTCATGTGTTCGCTGACGGTAACAGCACCATCATGTGTTCACTGACGGTAACAGCACCATCATGTGTTCACTGACGGTAACAGCGCCATCATGTGTTCACTGACAGTAACAGCACCATCATGTGTTCATTGACAGTAACAGCGCCATCATGTGTTCATTGACGGTAACAGCGCCATCATATGTTCATTGACGGTAACAGCGCCGTCATGTGTTCATTGACAGTAACAGCGCCGTCATGTGTTCATTGACAGTAACAGCGCCATCATGTGTTCACTGACGGTAACAGCGCCATCATGTGTTCATTGACGGTAACAGCGCCGTCATGTGTTCACTGACGGTAACAGCGCCGTCATGTGTTCACTGACAGTAACAGCGCCATCATGTGTTCACTGACAGTAACAGCGCCATCATGTGTTCACTGAGAGTAACAGCGCCATCATGTGTTCACTGACAGTAACAGCGCCATCATGTGTTCACTGAGAGTAACAGCGCCATCATGTGTTCACTGACAGTAACAGCGCCGTCATGTGTTCACTGACAGTAACAGCGCCATCATGTGTTCACTGAGAGTAACAGCGCCATCATGTGTTCACTGACAGTAACAGCGCCGTCATGTGTTCACTGACAGTAACAGCGCCGTCATGTGTTCACTGACAGTAACAGCGCCGTCATGTGTTCACTGACAGTAACAGCGCCATCATGTGTTCACTGACAGTAACAGCGCCGTCATGTGTTCACTGACAGTAACAGCGCCGTCATGTGTTCACTGACAGTAACAGCGCCGTCATGTGTTCACTGACAGTAACAGCGCCGTCATGTGTTCACTGAGAGTAACAGCGCCATCATGTGTTCACTGACAGTAACAGCGCCGTCATGTGTTCACTGACAGTAACAGCGCCGTCGTGTGTTCACTGACAGTAACAGCGCCATCGTGTGTTCACTGACAGTAACAGCGCCATCATGTGTTCACTGACAGTAACCGCGCCATCATGTGTTCACTGACAGTAACAGCGCCATCATGTGTTCACTGACAGTAACAGCGCCATCATGTGTTCACTGACAGTAACAGCGCCATCATGTGTTCACTGACAGTAACAGCGCCATCATGTGTTCACTGACAGTAACAGCATCAGAGTGTCTTTTAGCATCTTCTTTCTGTGTTCTCCTCAGAACTGGAGTCCTGCTGGCTGTGAGCGACTGGGAAAGTGTCTGAAAGCGCCCGAGTCCAAGCCGTGGAAGTGTGACTGGCCACATTAATGGAGTTTATTATCCACAAGATTCCAGTTTAAAATGATTTTTGTATTTTTTGTGTCTTTAAAGGGATAATTCACCCAAAAATTAAAGTTAGCCCATGATATACTCTACCTCAAGCCATCCTAGGTGTATATGACATTCTTCTTTCAGGCGAATACAATCGGAGTTATATAAAAAAATGTCCATAAAAGTGTGTCTATCCATCATAAAAGTGCATCTGTCCATCATAAAAGTGCATCTATCCATCATAAAAGTGTATCATACAAATTCACTTTTATGATGGATAGATACACTTTTATGGACATTTTTTAACATAACTCCGATTGTATTCATCTGGAGAAGAATGTCATATACACCAATGACTCGAGGGAGAGTAAATCATGGGCTAATTTTCACTTTTGGGTGAACTAACCCTTTAATTTAGTGTTTTAAATCCTTTCACATTTTGATGTCAAGAAGGAGTGTAACTTTCATCTTATATTTTGTGTTAATGAATATTGTTATGCTTTTGGAAGATTGAATGTTTCTGTCATGTTGAAACGGCATCGGGACTGAAGAGTGCAGATCGTTGGAGAATATACATGTTCATAGAAACATCGACTGACGAACTCGATTACCAAAACACACCATCATCCGTAAATACTGTATATTTATTTTTAGTTAAAGCATAATTTTGACTGTACATGATTGTAAAATTGTTTGCATAGGATCACGTTATTCTCTTTTATTTTGATATCTGTGCAATTCATTTAAATCAACTCTTCTTTAATTTTTTCTTAGGGGGCAATAAATTATTTTTAAAACTTGTTTATATAATAAAGTACAATAAAAATGTAAACAATGGCGTTATGATTTAAAATCAGTTGAATTTAACCCACTGCCTTCATAAACTTTTAGTATGCCACTTTTCATATATATTGGCCTATATTAAAATATAATTGCAACTTTTATCTCACAATTTTGACTCTATATCATGCAATTCTGAGATAAAATTGTGAAAATTCAGAATTGTGTCAAAGTTGCAATTACCTTTTTTATTTTTTATTCTGTGGCTCAAATCTCAGCAATCTAGTCTTTGTTTTGGTGAATAAACAATAAATTTATCTCACATTTTATAAAAGTAGATCGGTTAAACATTCTCCCAAAAACATTTTATCTGATTGCAATGATAAAATAAATGGTGCAAAGTTTGTTCCTCAATTTTACAGAATACACACATTCAAAACATCAACTAAAGTTGCAATCTGGGAGTCTGTTGTGTGGATATTATGCAAATATTGTGTAATAAAAAAGTATGATTCTTCAGCGTAATCTTTTCCAGTGAATACTGTCAACAACTGTTCCAGAACAAATACATCTAGTGTAAAATATTATGTGTGCTATGCTTTATATGTTTATTGTCAGTCACTTTATATAGCTATATATAATGTTTTTCGTAATACTTTTTTCATTTACAAAAAATAAAAGTATGTAACAAATACTACAGTATACTATTTATTTGTTTTTCTTCGATATAATTTTTAAAAAAAATTATTGTTGATTTTTAAGAATTACAACTACAGTCAGGGTGGTGCAATGAGTAAACCAAATAAACAAACATAAAAGATATACAGAAACAGTGACAAACATAAAAAAGTGCAAATGTTTACAGACTGAAACACTTTGCAGCTTTTTTATTCTTCAAACCCGATATTGTGTTTAGGTATTGTTGAATTTCTGCAAACAAAGGCTTGTTTCCTTCAAATTTACATTTATGAATACTAAATTTAGCTAACAGAAGACGCTAAGTAATATTCCTTATGATAAGATTTGTCATAAGAGAAAACACCAAATAACAA